GTGTATGGAGGTTTGTTTGATGTCTCTAGATCATTGGCTAGATTGCTTCAACAGTTGAACATGCTAGTGATGTGGGGATATGGTTCTCAACCTTAAGAATACTGAATACATGTCCATTGTACTTTCTAAATTGCTTTCCATCAAATGAGAGATAAAGACCTCTATTAGTGGAGCACCTAGGTAGAAGCCTAGAAAGTGCTCCATAATTTTTAGTCTATTTCAACTTTATATGTTGTATTACATAAGATTTTTATGTGATTACATTTCAGGAGAATATGCTGTTTGATCCTTTCATATATCGCGGTTTAGCTGAAACGCATGACAGACATAGAGATATGCGGCTTGATGTCGATAACATGTCTTATGAGGTAAAAAGGGATTGCTGTTTTATGTTCTCTCACTTCGCATTAAAAAGGTTATTCTTCTTACGTAACAATTGGAACATTAGGAATTGTTGGCATTAGAAGAACGCATAGGAGATGTGAGCACTGGACTGAGTGAGGAAACCATTATAAAGTTGATGAAACAGCAGAAGCATTCATCCACTGCAACAGAATCCCTACAAGAATTGGAACCATGTTGCATTTGTCAGGTAAGATGCTAGACGAGAGTAGCTAAGCTGCTTTAAATAGCTTTGTTGATTGAGCTTATCTGTTAGTTTTAGTTTTGTTTACCTTGTTTGAACATTTAAACATGGCAGGAAGAATATGCTGATGGGGATGATACTGGGACACTAGATTGTGGACATGACTTCCACGCTAACTGCATCAAACAGTGGTTAATGGTAAAAAACCTGTGTCCTATTTGTAAGACAACAGGCTTGCTTAAATGAGACATGGGCCTTCAGATCCAATAATGGGGGTGGATTATATCTGATTTAAATCGGCTTTTCTTGCCCTTGAATGATAACTTTCAAGGCCATGTAGCAGCTGTTAAATGTTATGAATTGCTGGATGAGTTTGTGGAATAACTTGCATAAACCATCATGACAATGATAACATATTTGAAATAATATTTATGACATTATCAATCTTTGAGAGGTCAACATTAGTTTATTTTTCAGCTGGAAATTAACACTATATTGAACCTTTGAACATCTACATATATGGTTTTTGACTGTGTTTACTACCCTAACCGGTCCCCTTGTTACAGAACAGGGGGGCTCCTTTATTAGCTATATACTGGAATAGGCTTCATTTTGATCGAACAGTGCCATTGAGTACCGTTCCATGTACCGTGACTTGGGTTTGTTCTATTTGAGCCACAACACATAGGAGCTGATTATAACCCATTAATTTCATTTTGTATGGATATTAGACATAAAATGCATAACCCAAACTTTTTAATGCATAACTTTACTCAATAATGTTTTCAATAATCCAAACTCTTTCGTTTTTTTCATCGAGAGAGAAGAAAATGAAATTGATACGTGTCTAATTTGGTTGCCATTGGAACCTAACCCCTTGTCTACGATTTCTAAAGACAACGAAAAATATCAAAGTGAGTTAAATTGGGCTAAGAAATGAAAATATCAATGCAAAGAAAAACGTAATTTGAAAATAAATAAAGGGATTACAAGGATTTAAATTCAGATTTATGAGATGTTGTCTTTTAAAAATGATTACATATATTGAGTTAATATGTACCAAGTTGGATTCCGACTTCACAAGCAGCATATCTTTATCTTAAGGTTCTTAGGTTCCAAAATATAAAGCAGATATAAACTCTTTATAGCCAAAGTTTTAACAACTGTACAGGCCATTGAAACAATCCTGGTCATGAACTTGGCTTGCAATTATTTTCTCAAAGACACTTCAAAATCATACTCTTAAATGATAGTGGAGAATATTATTAATGTACAAGAGCATACCTAACAGATTACAGACATATATTTCTTGTATTTTGCGAGGTTTAAGATCCTTGAAATGGATATACCTTAATACTCACTTCATTCTTTTTACTTGAATTACAAAGAATAATGAAAAAAAAAAACTGTAAAAAGCAACGGAAACTTATTTCTACATGTTGGAAAGCAATTCCCACAATGGTAAGCGTTCTGCTCCCTGATTGAATTATCGCACGGACGACCTCGCAGACATTGGCATTGGCAATGTTTAATTTGTTCATGTTCTGGTTGTCTTCGAGTAATGTGTCAAAATACTAGTCCTACCTCATGAAGCTTTTCCATGGCTATTGTCAACCTTAACCGAACTACTGTCATAAAAACTTTTCATCACTTAAAAGATAAATGCCATGCCATCTTCTGCAAGCTATTTCCAAGTTAAAAACCCCCATGAATTGACAGGGAACATGGGTAATTCAACTAGTGACAAAGTCAAATTCAAAAAAATTTAAAAGGGTATACATTAATGGTTGGGCCCCAACTGCTGGAAAAATGCACAAAGACAAACGAATCTCCCAATTGTTGTTGTGACCAAAAGATTAGGATCAAAGTTGGTGTTGGGGGCATGTGAGCAATAGCAGCTATCGGCCACAGGGAGGAAGAATATGAACCAGTCCATGTGATTCCATTGTTTTATTCTTCTATTCCCACCAACATATGACCCATCATCTCCCTTCAACTTTAAGCCACACACCTGTTTCCATGCCTCGGCATGATTCTCCCGTGGATCTTTTGTTAGGTGTATTTTTTAATTTAAAAGATAAATTAGTTATTTCTTTTATTAAAAACCTGTTTACATGACATGATTATTCTATGAATTTTTTGTTAGAAATATTTTTTAATTTAAAAAATAAATTAATTATATTTTTATTTTAAAATCGATTTGATATATTTAATATCACATCAATTTAATTGTATAATTATTTTATTCCACAAATTTTTTTTTTTATATATAAAATAAAATTATTCAAATATCATCGATCCAATCTCATTTTCTTCTTACATTCTTATTTTTTTTCTCCTTCCAATCTCTTTTGTCTCAATTTTTTACTTGAGCTTTGAAATGCAAATGCAAAATATATTCTTTGCTCTTGCTTTAAACACTATCTTTTCTTTCTTTTCTTTATCATTTCAGAATTTTAACTCTCAGAGCTCCACACCTACACCTATGCACGCGAGCATGAAAGAGCTACCTATCTTTGGCACTCGACAGTACACAGTCAAAACCCAGTTTCAAGTTTTCATTTGACGTGCTCTCTCAAGCTTAGGCAAAAAGATTAAAAAAAACCAGGAATTAACAGGGTACCCTCAAACAAAGAAATAAATAAGGAAACCAAATTTTTTACTGTCAGACCTCGGGGAAAAAAGTAGGGGAAAGGGACAGAAAAAGAAAGATGAAGGAGGTGGTCTGGAGTTCAGAGGACAAAGTAACCAAGTTTCAGGATGTGAATGTGATATATGAGGATCAGCTTTTTATAACAAGTTATCAGACAATCGACCCACGTTTATTCTCCACTCAGAACTTTGACATTTGTAACATTTGATTGCCGGAAACTGATTTTGTACTGTTTTTGTTATTTGCAGTATTTCTTATAGAAGCCGTAATTATTGTAACAACTCAACCTTTACTGCAAAAACTATGGATTTTTTTTCTTTTTTTGTTATTGATTTCTAGTATTCGGAGGATTAATTACAGAACTGAATCCAAATGACTTGTTTATCCGTAGGATTGGCAACGGTCTGATGAATTTTTGTTTATTTTAAATTTATTTTGATATTTATAATTATAAAATTTAAATTCGATTTGATTTAAAATTTTTTTATTATTTTTATATTCGAATTCGACTCGATTTGATATTGTGTAATTTTATATCCGATTCGATCAGAATTAATAAAATATTATTTTTTAATATAAAATATTTTTTTTAAAAATATAAATATATAAATAAAAAATTTAAAAATAATTAAAAATAATTTTTAATATAATATCAGATCAAATTTACTTAAAATTCGAACTTTATTTTTTTTTAATAATACTCGACCTGAAACTCGATTTAAAAAAAAATGATCTTATGAAGTCGGATCGAATCAAAACTTGCCAAGTTCAGGTTAGGCTGTTAACCCTATCTATATGACAATATCTAATAATAATTGAAACAGTTGAGTTCGAACAAAATTTATCTGAAATTATATAAATGAAGTTTATAAAATTTTTTATTAAAAATAAATAAACTAAATAAAAATTTTAATAAAAATTTCAACAAGATAAATTAATGAAATTTAATATAAAAATCAATAATATATAAAAAATTATTTAAAAAATTATTTATAACTTAAATTTAATTTATAACGATAAAAATTTTATCAATATTTTTATTAAAAATATTTATTTAATAAATATATTAAAACTTTTTAAAATTTTACACAATTAATCTATATAATAAAAAATTTTATTTTCAATTTTAGTTTTATTTATTAATTTTTAATAAAAAATTTTAAAATTTTCACTTTCAAATTTTCGTATAAATCTTTTCCCACCAAGCTCTTTTAAAAAACCAAACGCTCAACTCTGAGTTTCAGGAAAATTCTGCCGAACAGCTATGAAACATGCGTCACACTCACCAAATTAAATCAAATCAAATAAACTTTTCATAATTATTGGACGCTTTGCGGGCACATTTCACCCATAAACTAATCATATCCTCATCAGGAGTTCCCGCAACATATGAATAAAAATAGACGCAACAAAACAGGTTGATCTTTTCATTCGCTTTCCTTAACAAAAATTCTTACGTACAAAATTATAGTATTATATACAAGAAAATTACAATCTAAGGCCTTGAAATTTTAATTTTTTATTTTTGGTTAAGCAAAAATTATTTTTAGATTTTATCCTATACTTTTTTTAGAGAAATTTAAATAGATTTATCAAATTTAATAAAATTTCGTAAAATTACATTATCACGTCCTGTTAAAGGATTCAAATCCAACAATAAAAAAAATATTTTCTCGAATTCATTATAAATTTTAATAATTTTCTCATTCAAACAAAAATAACAAAAATAATTTTTTTTTTCTTTTTGAAAATATAGGAAGTATCATTCAAAAGGGTAGGATTTCAATGCAAGCAAAATCATCCGAATTCCTAAAAGAATCTTCAGGCCATGAATCCCGAAGCAACTTAAGCAGCATTTGAGCCTTCCTCTTAGCCCTATCCGTACAATCGCTTTGAACCAACAACAGCAACTGCGTCAGTACGCCCGCACTCACCGCATCCCTTTGACTCTGTTCCGACTTTGAACACAGCGCCATGAGCGCACCAGTCGCGTACTCCGTAGCCCTGTCCGAAATCTTTAATATTGTCTTAACCAACAATGGAACCGTAAGCGCGTGTGCCGTAAACGCAGAACAACCCGAGCGGATCCGACATAACAACTCTATCGTCGCCATAGCTCGTTCTGCGGAGCCCTTATCCAAATCGGCTAACCTGTCGATTAACGTCTCGACCGCTCCGGCTTGAACCGCTTTGTGCCTTGTTTGTTTTACTAAGCACAAGGCAAAAAGAGCTCGAATGCTGGTTTTTAACGCGCATGGATAAGAGTTGAGGTTTCTTAATATGTCGGTGACACCTTCGAAGATTTCATCTACATTGCTTAACTGTGCTCGAAGATCTGACGATCTAGTTCCAGAGAGAACGATTTCGATGAGCGAAGCTGAGTTGACTCGGACTTCGATCAAGGAGTGGAACAAGAGTTCTGATAAGTAGAATACTCTGTTTGAATCGGAAGCGATTGAAGCGCACTCGGATTCGGTGAGTTGAAACATTACTAAAAGCGCAAGTGCCTCCTGGTTCAACTCCGACGAACCGGAACCCATGTCTGAAAATAAGATGCTAATGAGTATGTCACGTGCGTTGTGAGAGGAAAGCACAGACCGGTTTTTGTCAGAGTCTAGGGCGAGTCCCTTGAGTCGACGCACAGCAGAAAGACGAGATTGAAACGGATTCGAAACGGAGGAAGCTTGATTCAGTAAAGACCGAACCATGGTAGGCTCGGCAGGTTGTTTAGGTGTAGGAATTCGCTCGATACCAAAGGCCTGGTTCGCGACACACCAATCTTGAATAAGGCGGCGAAGGGTATGGTTAGGGATGAAAGTGCAGTCAGAGAGAGGGGCTCGAGTGACAGGACAAGTGGTGTTACCAGTTGCAACCCATGACTCGATGCTGGTTCGGTCATAGGTTTGGCCGGTGGTGACCGTTACAGGGTCACGCATGAGCTCAAGTGAGATCGGACACCTGAAATGATAAGGAACTTGCACACCATCCAAATCTAATGGCTTTATACTTCCAGGCATCTCCAGAGAAAAAAAAAAAAAAAAAACAAAGTAGACCCGTTGGGGGAGGACTCTGAAATATTCTCTAGGGAATTTTATATGGTGCCTGGTTTTGGTTACACACTTAGATGAAATATTCGGAGCAGAGAGACAAGAACCAAATAGGCTGTTGGGACTCCCGGAGAGTGGGGTTCTGCTCTTATCTGACTAAGGGCCGCATGTGTGGCATTTGTAAGGTTATGTTTGGACGAGTAATTAAATTAAAAATAATAATAATTATTATTATTATAATTATGATTGAAAAATTTATATTAAATAAATTTTATTGAAATTAAAATTAAAATTTATCTGATAATACAATAAATTCAATTATATTACACTTAAAGTACAATGAAATTCAAACCCTCACTGGATCTGGAACCTTACCTGATAGAGTTCAAGGTTTGGTCAAAGGAAATGTGCAACTTGTTGGGTCCCACTCTTTTTCCAGCCTGACATGGAATCCAACTTCTGTTTACATCAACTAATAATTTGTAATGAGACTGACTGTTTAATGTTTATTATTACTACTGTTTATTTTTAGATTTGATTGAGCATCATTAATAATGGCTTGGCTTATGTTTTGCAATTGAGTCCTTGTAGTTTGGTGTTTTTCTACATCATGGATTATCTTTTTGGCGCTTTAAGATTTTTTTTTTTTTTCATATATAAAGAGTTGAGAATGTGAGATATTGAGAATTGACACATTGTTTTTCTAGCAAATTTGAATTATTATTTTCTTCAATTTAACACAAGTTTAAACTTCAAAAGTAAAATTAAAGTCTTGTATATTACAATATTTTCTTTGAATAAATCTTATTTTAAAAAAACAATGACTATCTTTTTTTTATAAAGTAGGTACTTATTTTATATTAACCAAATGTCTTAAGTTAGGTTTGGATTCTATAATAATGAAAAATCTAGATAACAATTCTAATGAGATTCATTCAGTATAAATTTTTTATTAATATTTTTAATTATAATTATAGTAATTTTATTATTATTTTTAATATCATCAGAACTAATCTCATTTTTCATCCAAATAAAGTCTTAATCCAATAACTACATAAAAATTTAACAATTGAATAAATATTAAGTCAAATGATATGCATGTTAATAAAATTCTTATGAAATTTCTAAATTCGAAAGTACTTAAAGTCATAATATAATTCTTAAGTGAATTAATTATTCTATGAATAAAACATGATTTATAATCTTCTATGTCTCTCTCTTTTTTTTTTTGAAACATCTATATTCATTAGTAACTTATTATTTGAACTTAAATAAAAAATAACTTTATATAAAAAAAAGGACAATAGTTTAGTTGTGATACTATTTGGATTGCCCAAATTTATGAAAAAATAAAAGGAATAAAGGGTGTAGCTGAATTGAGTTATGCCCATGATCATCAGCAAAGTAGATATTTTTAGCTTATCTATCTTTTTACTTGCTGTTTTATGTCTATGCTTTTACAAGTTAGTAAGAAGACTAACTTTATGCAAGCAAGCATGGTTTGCATGTCCTATGGGAATCACGAAGACAAAATCATGTTTGGGCTCGCTTTACAGTCTGGTTTGGTGTCAAATCTTTAAAGAAATCAAACCAATGGTAAGCTTAATCTTATCATGTCAAGAAGTTTGGATGTGCAAGTGTAATTTATATGAAATTTTATGTTTATTTAAATCAATTGATTTGAAATTAATGACGTGTTTTATCTTTAAATAAAAAAAATTACACTATCTATAAAGCTTCTGTGCCTTATAAAAAATTTATTACTATATGGAAAGAGGAAAGGTTTTGAACATCACCAAACCAAGTGGAAGTGAAACCTTCAATCTGAAGTAAATTAAAAAAAAAAAAAAAAAGCTTTTATGTAGTTGCATTAAGACCCTTTACCTAGACGAAATCTGTTTTGACAATTTGGCTATAATTAGATGTGGAGACTGGAGAATTGCAAAGGTAAATGAAAATATAAAGAAAATTATGAAGGACCAAAATGAAATATGAAAAAGTTTGATGAAAAGAAGAGAGGTTGTCTCCCCTCCTCTTTATTCGAGCAATGAAAATTAAAAATAAAAACAAAATTTCCGTGGATATAAATATAAATATAAAAATTATCAATGTCTTTACAAAAATACTAAATGCATAAATGATTATGCGCAAAACCGAACATAAGTGGAAGATGCTGATACAGTAGACCCCACAAAACTCCGTCCACGATGTACGCATTCCATTTGTATTTTGTAATAAGTTTGGGTGAGAAACAGGGAATCCGTCACATGTTACACGAGAGAGCAATTGAATTGGAACTTTCTTACCTTTCGGCTTTGGCAAGCTGCTGCTCGGTTACGTCCCTTTTGGAAGCCTGCCAAGGAAACCAGCTTGTGTTGTCATTATTCAATTCTTTTTTATGAGTTTTGCTTACGGCCATTCCTTAATCTTTCTACTAGTTCTTAATACTTTTAATTAACTTTTGCAATTGTAATTATTTTTTAAAAATTATAATCTAAAAATAAATGGAATAATTACATGTATTAAAGTTTAAATTATATATCTATTAAATATTATTTTTTAAGTGATTGAATGAATTAATTTAATTAAATTTTAAGTTTTAATTATAATTATTTTTAAATAATTTTTTTTTAAACATTGACATAATCTTACTCGTTTATGCAGCTTTGTTATGTGGGTGGGGTTGTTGAATAGAGTTGTTTTTGTTTACCAATCTCATATGCTATTATTAACATTTAGTGAGATTTATAAATTTGGGTAAAAAATGTTCAAATTAAAAGAATTACTACTGACTCAAATATAATTGTAATTGCTAATGAAATTTTGTTTTAATAACAATAAGTAGAACTTAGAATTATGAAATTTTTATTTTAAGAATTTATCGATTATGAATTTGATTCAATTTTTTGTTGATTTATTAATTTATTTAATTTACTATTTAATTTTATTTTGTGATAATAATAACTCCATATTTGTTGAGAATTATTTGGTTGCAATATAATTTGAACTTATGACCAATATAACTCTTATAAAAAACTTATGATCCCTTCTCTCATATTTAAGATTCAAACCTAATTCAAACCTGTCCTCTTTCTAACCCTCCCCCTTTTTTTATGTTTCAAAATTATATCATTTTTCTCATTTTTTAATATTTAAAATTTTTCTTTTTTATATTTGATTTTTTAATGATTTATTTTACTTTTAATATTAAAAATCATGAAATTTTAATTTTATAAAAAATTTAATTTTAATATAAAGTATATTAATTTCATTTTTTTATTTTGTAAAAATCAATACAATCTAAATATTTTAAGACGAATGAAGTTTTTGTTACGAACTAGAACAACAGAAGCCATCAAATGTGATCAAATATTGTTAGGCTAAAAAGTCTCAATCTAATTACATCATCGAAAGTAAAATCAAATAATCAATCACATAAGAGACAGTAATTAACGTTTCAACTGATCTACGTTCACGGATGAGAAATAAGATCCACTAGTTATAAAGAATTATAAACATACATAAAAATATATTAACTACTCAACACTCAATACCCATAAATACTCTTAATTTCTTTTAATCATATGAAATATTTTCAACCCAAACAAACACATACCCAGTGCATTCTTTCAACTTAACAAAATACATACCTATATGCACCAATACATCATACTTATGTAGACCATTTCAATATTTTATAGTCCACTCACATGCACCATATATATATATATATATATATACATCCATAAGACGTAAATTTCCAGCAGTCTTATGAGGTATTTATCCCATAAAATCTTATAACTCTCTTACATCTTTTTCTCATATTTAATATTGCAGATACTTCACATATTTATAACAATACAAACTTATCTATTAAGAATTTTTATCATTTTAGAATTCTTATTCTGTAAGTTAAATTTGTCTATTAAGAATCTCTTTACTTGAGTCTTATTGTCCATAAAGTAATATATAACAAATTGTAAATAAATATTTTATGAGATTTGAGTCATTATTCATAACAATCTTTATCTTTACTCAAATTTTATAAATCATTTGTTTTTATACTAGACATACTTGACTTCATCTGCAATGAAAGTCTCATAATCATCTTCTTTTGTGTGTCTTTACACTTTATGCAAATCAATTTTTAAAATACGAACTCGAACTTTTTTCTTAAATTGAGTTCCTTTAAGCTTGTCTCTTCTCATGTATTGAACTGTATTTTAATACCACTTGTTGGAGATCATCACAGCTCTGATATCACTTGTTAAGCTAAAAAATTATAATCAAATCATTTCAAGGAAAGCATAATCAAACAATCAATTAATCATCCAAAAGACAGTAATTTAACGTGATTCAGTTTAATTGATTTACGTCTACGAATGAGAAATAAAATTCACTAATTATAAAAAATTACAAATATATATCAAAATATATCAACCACTCAACAATCAATACCCATAGACACTCTTAATTTCTTTTAGTCCTATAAAATATTCTCAATCCAAACAAATATATACTAATGTGCATTTTTTTAACGTAACCAAATATATATTAATATGCATCAATACATCATATCTATATGGATCATTTTAATCTCATATATTTCACTTTCATACATTATATAAATATAAACACCTATAAAAAGTAAGATGTATATCCCATAAAATCTTACAATTCTCTTACATCTTTTTTTTATATATAATATTATCAAGACATTAACTATTTATAATCATACAAACTTGTCTATTAAAAATTTGTATCTTTTTAAAATTTTTCTTCTATAAATCAAATTTATTTATTAAAAATTTATTTTATTTTAAAATTACAAGTCTTATCATTCATTAAATAATATATAATAAATCGTAAATAAATTTTGTATGAAATTTAAGTTATTATTTATTACTCCATTTGAAAGGTGCATAAACAGAGCAAAGAGAGAGGTGTGGAATGGTGTCGTTTAGCGGCGGAAGTACACGCGTGCTGGCGGATAGTGCGCCCCCACGAGCCGCACCCCCCTGCGAGACTGCGACCCTGATGTCTCTTGTCAACCGCGCAACGCATTGCCGCTACAGCCTACACAACATTTGCCTGCCCCGATGCACTTGCGAAACAGCACGTGTTTCCAGCTATAAAATCTTTTGAGAGATGAGAAAATTTTTTTTCTTACTCGTTTAAGAAAACAAAATTAATATAAGACACAAATTATAATTTTTTTTTTAACTTGGGTTGCTGCTGTTGCAAACTGCCGCTTGTGCCCCAATGTACGGAATTTTTATTCCTGTTAATATTATTCGAGGTGATTTTATATTTATATTATATAAAATATTAAATTTATGTATTTATATTATATTTATATATAAATTATATATTATAATTTATGACAAAATAAAAATATAAAATAAATATATTTAAATTTTATTAAATTTAAATATAATAATTAATAAAATTTTAAATCATATTTATTATATCATGTTTATATTATATTATTATATTATATTTTAAATTTTCATATCTATTATCGAACCTAATTTATTATCATTAAAGATTTTCATGGATCTCGATTGATTTGTGTGCCCTCTGTCACATTTTAGTACTTTTTAATGTTTTTTAATAAAATAAAACCCTAATTTATCAGTGACAAAAAACACTTACCAACCGGTTTTATTTGAATAACAAGACATTGATGCCTGTTTCCTTTGTGATATAAAAAGTATTCAAAAAATTTTAAAATTTAATTTAATTAATTTATATAATTTTTTTATAAAATGATATTTAGTAAATGTAATTTTTTTTTTTATAATTTCAAACTTTATCTCAAAGAGGAGTTCGTGAATGAAGAAAATTTTATATTTTTCATTTGCTAAACAGAATTTAATCACAATTGACGACTTGCATTTTTTTTATTAATTTTCATACAAAAAAGCTTTAAACTTGAAAGGAGGATGTCTTTTCTGTCTATTACCTTTGTCAAGAATATCAACTTTTAAAACATATATTTAAATATTGAAATTTAAAATTTAAATTTATTAAATATTAATTTTTAAAAATAATTTATTAAGTTTCGGATTTTAAAATGAACATTTTAGAGTTGAGGCATTATTTTTTTAATTAAATTTAATATTTTTTAAATATCAAATTATTGAAACGAGTATTAGAGTGTCAAGGAGACATGTCTAGTTGGCATTGTGATATCGGCCTAAGATTTCACCTTTATGTGGTCCAATAATGAAGTTATTGAATCCAACTTTCCACGTGGGTTGTTTTTGTGTTGTCCACGCATCAACTTTAATTGTGATAATGACGTGGTCCTCAACTAACCTGGATTTTTTTTTTAGTTTCTTTTCAACTGTGTGTTTTTAATGTGTGGTTGAGCTTTCCACGTGGACCTTTTGTTCCATCCAAAAGCTAAAAAAAAATCATGAAACGTTTTTCGTGGGCTTTGATTCAAATTCAACCGCAAAAAAAAAAAAAAAAAAAACAAATCATTTCATGCCATTTGACATTCTAAATTTTCAAGGAAAGATGATGTACACAATTTTTTTTGTTCAACGAGCTCAATCCCAGGCAAAAGCATGGGTGGAAGATTTTTTTTTTCCTCAAATTAACATACTTTGTAATTTTATTTCTTAAATTAAAATATTTTTAAGTTTTATTTTTAAATAATGCTACTTTCGTCTAATCGGATTTCACAATTATAATCCATGTCAGTGTCTCATTCCTTTAAGGGAGCCAAAGTACTTTTTTTTTTTTTCTGCAATCTCAGCCAAAAAGCAACAAAATCTGTACCAAATCTAATCTTAAGGAAATGTTGGTTTAGGAAGATGCATACGTTGTCGTTTTGCGTGCTTCATCTTCACTATTTATTATATTGAAGAGTTTTTTTTTTTTTTTTTATCTTCAAAATTTTAAAATTTACTCTCTCTTTTTCTTTTTTTTTTTAAATTAATCTAAAAAAATTCAAAGATCAAAATCCCAGAAAATGGTTATGAAATCACCAAATTCAATTTCCATTTTTCACCAAAAAAATTCTTCAATTTCCAATTTGTAATCTTTTTATTTTCCTCAATTTTTATTCAATTTCATTGGTTGGTTTCACTATTTGATTAATTAATTTTTTATATGTAACATTTGAATATGTTTCTAATTTTTTTGTACCAATGATTCTCTAAAAATATATGATTAAAAATAATGATGAACCATTAAAGGAGAATTCTATTTACACCATAATTTTTACTCTATAAGCCCTATTACTAAATGCACTATAAATTTAAACTTAAATTTTTTATTTTTACTAAACACACAACATCTCTCAACAATTGATTTTCCCTTTATATCTTTAATATTTTTTTATTTTTTATTTTTTCTTTTCAATCTCAAACCCAAATTAACCTTAAATCAATCAAATTAACCTCAAAATTACATCTTTTTATTCTTTCATTGATTAAAAGTAAGATTTCAAAATTTATTTTGTTTGTTTTGGTTTAAATGCATGCAAAAGTTAGTTAAAATTTACAAAAATGAATTTCGTAGAATTCAAATTTCTCAAAAATAAAATTTCAAAAAACCATTAAGATTTTCAAAAATACAATTTTTAGAAGTCTTAAAGGCTTTAAAATGTCTATTCTAAAAAACTTTTAAGACTTTCGGAAATCTATTTCTATTTTCCAAAAACCTTTAAGTGTCTAAAAAATTTATTTTTGAAAAATTTTTAAAGTTCTTGAAAATTCATTTTCGAGAAACCTCATTTCGAAAATATAATATGAAATTTGAAAATTCATTTATGAAAATATATCATAATTTTTGATAGTAAATTTTTAAAAATTATGTTGTATTATCGAAAATAAATTTTTTAAAATATAAAAAAATCAGATTCGACTGATATAAGAGAAAGAAGAATAAATGGAGAAGAAGAAAAAAAGTAAAAAAAAGAAGAAGAAGAAGAAGGAAAAATTATAATTTATTAAAAAATAAATTTGATATTTGTTATGCGAAGAAAATTGATGGGATATAAAGAGAAATTTGGGTGGTGTATGTAGAAGTCCCACCATTAAAAAGTTACCTTTTTTCTCTTTTAAAAACTGTAATTTTCTCTCCTTCCAATAGATGCTTCCCAACTTTGACGAGTGTATAATTCTAACCAAATGTAAAAGAAAAAAAAGGAAAAAACTTTAGCTGTAGAAAAAGAAATAAGAAAGAAACTTTGTAGAGTGTGATTAGATTGTATAACTTTAGCTGTAGCAAGAAAGAAAGTTGGCCCATGAATTAAAATCAAAGCAGTCATTTTCCCATTCGAACCTGAGGCACAAAGGCAGCAAATATCAAACATTCCCACAAAAATTTTTAGTGGATCACTAGAGCAATTCCTTTTATCATCTTATCAAGGTGGGGAAGCAAATGCCTTTTTCCTCCTTTCTCATGCATTGTTCTATCAAATCAATTCTAATCACAAAATTTAACCAAATCCAGCATATTTAAAGCTTTAATTAAACTAAAATTTAATGAATAAAGATGTTTGGAATATGCCATCTTCATAACATAATTCTAATATTAACCGTTTATCCGTAGCCATATGACAAACTTTTGCCGCATTCCCCCTACTTACCTACAAAAGTATATTCCGATTCCCATTTCATGAGAAAAGTAAAGAAGCAAATTGTTTAGATTTGAGTGTTTGACCTGATCACATTCACAAGTACTGTTGGAGCTAGTCAAGTTTGCTGCATGATAATGTGTTATTAACCTTTGAAGGGCTTAACATAAAGGGAATATTTAAGGTTTCTTGAGCGGTGCGCAAACCGATTACAGGACTATTTTTTATGCTTCAGTGCCCTTGATTCATGCACGATTACAGGAAGGCCCAGGACCTGAATTCAGTTTTAATAACAAGCTCATATCTAACGAGGAAAGATAAAAAATGAAGGCAATTGGGGTTGGGATTTGTTAACCATTTGGATTCAGCAGCCCAAGCTGAGCATGGAAGACAGGAAAATGTTCCATTTCTACCGCTCTTGTCCAAGTTCTTTCTTCTCGGGCTCCTCTCTCTTTGGTCATTCTAATAATTCTGTGGCTTCCACATCACATTCAGGTTCATCGATGGTGAGCCAGATAATATCAATACCAAAATAAAAAAAAAAAAAAGGCAAAGATTCTATAAAACAATCACATGATAAACATCCATGGTTTAAAAATCTGCTATAATCATTGAAACAGAAGAATAAATACCATGGCCCTGGATAGCCGCCACTCTTTAGCCACTGAATGTCCAACGTCGAAATAAATAAAGCTGGAATAAAGAGTATAATCCTTTCGAAGCTGGACTAATCTACTAGCTATCTGGGTTAGGTAATGGTTAGAATTTTTTTATAAAACATTCATCTTTTCAATTATAGGAGAATTGCTACTAAAATTATGGCAAGCAACCACTGCAATGGAGTTGGTCGACTATCCAAATAAGCAAAGCTGGATCTATGTGCTACTGGTTCTGGTTCAGCGGCAACACCAGCCTCAGGTATGTCGCATACTCCAAAAGTCATGTTTTCCTATACACAACAATCAAGTACCACAGTCAATCAGAAGCTCAAATTCATCATGTTTTTCATAGTTAGAATACAGAAAATGGTAATCCCTATGATCCCCTCGGTAGAGTTCTAATCTTCCGGGGCTTTAACCAACCATTTCTTACATATTTATGACTACTAAATCAAAAATTAGTAAATGGAAATGGAATGGAGATAATAGTAGAAGTATTATTTTTACAGACCTCGCAAGAGGCAATGATTCCGCATCCACAAACTAGATGACCATTTGCCACGTCTACAGCTTCTGGAGCGCCTCCACCGTCACTCCTCTGAGATGTTCATGCAAGAACCTTTAGGCTGCTCATGCTTTATTGGTAAGTGGTAACAATTGACAGTTATGTAACATCCTCATACCTTGTAAAAATCCACAGCAATGAAGTTAGGCCACCGTTTGCCAGCTGCTACGTAACATGTGTTCACCATGTTAATCAATGGAGCTGAATTGTGTTTGCAAGCTTGGGTTACATCTGGTGCATCAGGAAAGTAGTTGACTAAAGCCAGTGACCTTGATGTTGCATTCATCGCAGGTGATTCTGCCCGGTTTGGACATGAACCAGCTACCATCCCACGATTTCCATCTGTTATTTCCAAGTGCATCATTGTCACCTCTGCTTTGAAATAAGTATAATTTTCTACTTCCTTCAGTGAACTGTTTAAAAGATTATGGTAACAGGACTCACATTGGTTTTCTACCATGTATCTCCATTGATAAGCTATACCTTCCGAGGCCTCCTTAGCTGACTTTGAAGTGAAAACCAACAGGCGCTGATTCTTTTGGACCATATCATCAACTGTGGGCCAATTTCCACCATTTTTTGGCATTCGAGATACTGGAAACCAGAACTTCCTCAGGCCAGCAGCATCAAATACTTTACTCAAGCCCCTTGGTGAGGTAACATAGTCTTCAATGATAATGGTAACAATTTCTGATGGGTTTGCTTCAAGAAATGCTTGAACCTCTTTCAAAACATTAACTGCAGGTTGCTGATAAAAAAGCCTCATCCGTTAATCCCATGGTAAAAGAATTGTTAAATTCCCCATTTTGCAAAAAACAAGTCGATATATTATAAATTTATTGGCTTTAGATGTCGATGAAGACTTACAAAAGCTGTATAATTGAAGCATTGTCCTCCAAAGGAGTGACACAACCAGATGTCATTCTGGAAATCATACATGTCCAGCATCAAACCCCTAACACCATTCTGCATGCAAGACAGAAATTAAACCACTTCCGAATTCACATATTATTGAAAAAGCACAGCATATTCATTAAAATTTACCAAAAGATTGGCCAACTCTATAGGGAGAATATAATGTTGGTGGCTAACTATCAAATTTTTTAGTTATCTGATCATTGATGACACAATATATGAAAGCCAGTGCTCTCCTTCTCTAAAGGGGGAGGAGGGAATCTATATGAGTGAATGTAATGACTAATGACATTCGCCTAAAATGTTTATTCCTAAAAATAATTAGTGACACTTAATTTAGTATTAGAAAAGAGGCATGTTGATGTTGATTCTACTTTTCCCTGCTTTAATTAATAATCACATGTGAACGAAAGAACAAATTTCAAGATATTCCAACTATTAACTAATAAGAAGGCCAGACGGGATGTCTGATTCTGAACCAGATTGACTCAGGACATGGGTTTGGGAGGCTTTATCCTTTATTTTCGTTGCTTTTCAATTTAAAATTGGGAGAAATGACAATCATTGCAGTCATAAACACATTTCCTACCCTTTTCCATTGCTTAAAGACCATCTTTACGTTGCTTTTCAATTTAAAACTGTGAGACCTGACAATCATTGCAGTCATAAACACACCAACAAACACCATTTTTCATTAGAGAAAGTTAGTGAAAAGGATTTTCAACATTAGTTGAAAGTCTACCATCAAATGAAACATTCAACAAAAGTGTACGCAAGTATATCAGATATCAAGGAAAGCATGGTTTGTATAATTTCCCTTTAAGCAACGAAATGCTTTGGTTTTCCTTCATTTTTACTTAAGATGGAATTCCCGTATCAGTTCTACTTTATCATCTATCTCCAAACTAAGCTAAAATGTAAAAGGATTTAATATAATATCTGAATTTTAAAAATTTTTTATTTTATATTTTAAAATTAAATTTATTAATTAATATGATATTTAATTTTAATGTTGTTATTTTCATTATCATTTAAGGATTATTTGTGACGTTAATCCACCTTGAAATAATCATCCTCTCACTGTTCACATGTATATATAAAAAAATCAATGATTTCTTATTAAATCATCATTGAGGACCCATGTAATTAAGATGACAACATAGTCGAATCTTAAAGTCGTTTCTTATCTGCCTCGCACTAATTATCTAGATTTAAATTGGTCATCTCATAAAATAAATACTACTGTTACTTTAATTTAATCAATTCCAAGCTGTACAATTCACCCAAAACATGTTCTTGAATTGAATGCAGCATCCTCAGAAGTTAGATAGTACCTAACAAGCATATTCAAGCGCAACCAAACAAACTTAACAAAAAGACTTAGGCGTCCTTTCTCTTCAATATAAAAAATTCAAATACCCTCACTTGATACAAGGAGATTCTAGTCTTTTAATCACATCAAAACATTGCTTTCCAACTAATAAAGCAGACATTCCTTAAAAGCAACCAATTACAAACACCGCCAACCAGCAAAAGCTGAAACTCATAGCATAGAAGTTGAGGAAGTGCATTTTCTTTTCGTTTTCATCTTTTAATTTGCAGATAGTTAAGCGTATAGAACAATTGTAGTGATTAAACAGGGAGAGAACATACATTAAGCTGGCTGGTGATGGAATCCTGCTGGTTCGTAGGAGCTAAAATCAAAGATCCAGTTGCAGACCTCTCTCCTAGCCTTGCAAACGAGTTGTGGGTAGTCAACCAGGAGTATCGGTTAAACGGCAGCCCCTTAACCTAAATTTAACCATCATACACATATATGATCCCTTCCTGTTACATGTATGCAAATATGCACGATGTCGAAAATGGATGAATTGTACAGACCTTGGAAGTGGGGTTTACAGGTTGGATTCTGGTGCATCTTGGCCGTACGTTTCCATTTGCTAGACAGGTTTCACAGTGCAACCCAGAGTCACAATTCCCATCTGCTACGCATGTTTGTCCCTCCTGTTTGAAGATATAATTACACCCCACATTGAGAAAAACATAAAGGAGTCTGCTGATAAGTGATATTGGGTAATACCTTGAGAGCAGAGCAAAAACAAAAGAGAAGGGTAGTAATGATAAGAGTGGTAATCAACTGCAAATGAATAGTATATTCTCTGTTAGTTTTCCTTTGAAGACAGAGGAGAAGAAGAGAAGAAGAGAAAGAGAAAAGATATTTAAAACTTGCCTGCATTGGTTGGTGATGGAGTTTGCTTTTTGAAATTTCTTCTTCCCTCTCTGATCTTTATATAGGACCAGAATTTCTAGTCCCTTAAGTTTGTGATGGTAGGATTTGTTGTGGTGACCCTTACATATAAGGGCATCAAAGCTGTCTAACAGCACAGGGCATGTTTTTCTTTAGTTAATGATGATTACCCAAGTTTTTAAAATATAGAGAGACAAGCTGCGACTTTGAGGCTAGCCAAAGGCCAAAAAAAAAAAATAAAAAAACTGCAAAGTGCAACCATTTATTAAGGAACAATGATATCCGTTTTGATATATTATTTTTATTCACGTAATTTTTTAATATTGAATTGAGAGTGTTACAATTTTTTCATTTTTAAAACTTGATGTTTCATTAAGTTGGGTTCAATCATAGAACTATCACATTATATTACCGTATAACACTTAATGATTTTCACGATTGTTGATTAATAATCGTTTTGATATAATTTGTGAAAATTCACATCTAACCTATAAGTTATTTTTCATTTTGATTTAAAAATTTATAATTTTATCTCACAAAAATTACATCACAAATTTAAAATTAAATCTTTACATATATATAATTTTTTATTCATACATTCTTTCAATATAAGATTAAAAACGATATATAAGATTAGAAACGTTACAGTTATCTTGAAACAAATAAATGATAGATATTAGATTGGATCTAATGTGAAGTTTCGTAATAGTGTAAAATTCAAACAAGCACGAAGTTGAAACCAAGAGTGTTCTAAAAATTTGTTGCTTAAAGTCTTCCTCTTCTGCTTGCTTGCAATCATCAATCCATGAATTATATATATTCCCAAGTCTTTATAATTGTAACACCCATTTTCTCACGTTTTAATTTTTATTATGATAGTCGTAGGATCATTTTCTGGCTTCTTTTTTTCTTTTTTTTTTTTGCCGTCCGACACTAAGAAAGTTCCTTCTGCATTTGTCCTTTTAGAGACAACAGCTTCGCTTAGAGTCATTTATATTTATGAAAATCCGAATCAACTTGTAAGATATTATTCATAATTTTTATTTCATAAGAAATATTTTATAAATTTAGATTTAAACTTTTATTATAATTATCGTAAATCCTAAAATCTTTCAGACATTGAGGTGTCACAAGAATTACCTCCTACATCAACTTAAACTGATTTTAGTAGAAAAAAAAAGACAATATCATTGAGGATTTGAGAAGAATGTCGCTTTAAGAGTGCGAGTTCAGCATGCATTACAGACAAGGTTGCTTCACTGAGCTGAGATCTAAAATATGTAAAAAAAAAAAAATTTATAAATATTGAAAACAAACACATTGGTAATTTCTTACTGTCGTTTATGCCCCAAACAAATTTGCCAGAATCCTCTGACTTGGCAAACCTACATGCTGAACTCCTAGCTGCAGCAACCATCTAAGGCAAGCTGGCTTAGTGGCCATTTGGATTTCAGCGTATCTTCAGTGCAGTGTGATTAAAGTCACTGCATTATTAATTAAATTTAAATATTAATTTTAATGAAATTTATTCATCATAAAATTTTTATTAAAATTTATTTTTTTAATTGTAATAATAATAATAATTATTATTATTTTTAATTTTATCGTAATTAATCTTATTATCTTTTTTCACATTAAGCTCATGTCATGCAGGATAGCTCTAACAGCCTTTGGTGGCACGTATAACTGACACTAATCCAAGCCTGTTGAATGACAAATGTGGCTATTCGAGCTTCAAATCTCCTATATATGGGCCGAACTTACCATTGAAATAGCGTTCAAACCTCGCCCATGCCAATGACTAATGTCGAACATGATCAGCAATGAAGCATGGGCCGCATTTTCCACCCTATTTACTGAATTTTGGTTCGGACTAGAAGCACAATGAAATGATGAAAAGAGGAAATTTGGAAAAAGAAAACGAAAGGAAATCAATCAGTCATGTTTCACTTCAGATGATTACTTCTATCTTTATCCAACAGTGCAAACTACGAAGAAGGCAACATAAATCGAAAAAAAAAAACACATGATGTTTTCCTTTTTTGAAAAGATTGTGGCACAACTGCAAAGTCCATTGTCTCAATGTCCTAATTCACAAACTGTCCAATAATAGAGACATGTATGAACTGGTGAAGACATTTACTACAGGCTATAATGTTGACATTAAATTTTTTTTTTCTTTTAGAAAAATCACAATGATCTGAAATTAAAACAGAGTTACATATATTAAAATTTATTAAGTATTATTTTTTAAAACTGATCGTATAAACAAATGAAAATAAATTTTAGATTACGTTGCCAATAAAGTTTTAAAGCAGTTAGTTTCAGGTAAATTCACTCCATTTGATTGGAATGCATCTTAGAGGACTAGGGATCCTTCTTTAAGCAGAATCTTATTATATAAAAGAAGATGATGAGATGAACAAGCAAAGCAAAATGTTCCAGGCGTGGATTACAAGGATAAAGAAAAAAAAAGGCAGTGCTTTCTGCCAGTTCTAAATTTGCAGATAAAGGCTGTTCATAAAAGTCACAATCTTCACTAAATTACCCCTAACATTACCCAATTTTTCTCATTGAAAAAAGCAGCAAGATCCCACCCGTGCAAGATAAAAACAAAAACATAGACCACAGACAGGCGATATGCATCAAAATCAACGTTTATTTTCTACTGATACGAGGTTATAACACTACTCTAGTAGTAGTATAAAACTTTATTATTATTATTTTTATTGGAGTGAAGATTAGGTATAATTTTTTGTCAGCACATTGAAAAAACTGATATGATTGCAAATGAAACCGTGCCCACAAAATACAAACATGCTTAAGTTTACATTATTTTGGGTTTTGGCTGTTGCATTATCCTCACGCCTCCCAGAATTAATGTTGGTCCCCTACTTGATTTATCACCACAAAGTTTCCAAACCCAGCCAATGCCATTGCCATTGCCATCTATTCTGTCTGACTCACAAAATGTCAAATGATTAGGGGCAATTAAGCAAAGTACAGATGGTTGGATTAAAATATATACTACTATTTTGATATAATTTGAATTATAGTGCATAATTGTTTGAGACTTTGAGCAGATGAGTGACTGAAGTTTGGATGTTGATTTGCTTATCTATTGCAACATGGGAAGCACATGTTAAGGATTCTTCGATTGCAACAAGTTGATCTTATTCCTTTTATTTTATCCTCTATCTTCCATGGACAAAGGTCAGAGTCCTTTCCATCCTCGGAGGCCAATTACCTGTCCAAGCTCATCTGTCCCTGTTCACTGTAAAATTTTGTCCTGTTAAAATAGATGCCATATTGTCTGATATATATATACAAATTTGCAAGAACTTTCACTCTTCCAAAGTTTTCTACAGAAACTTGTTTCACATTTTCTTGCCTCAAACAAACATACAAAACATTGTTTTTTAAAGCATTAAACAACCCTTGACTATGTGCTTACATACAAAAATTCATGAGCAGCTAATTTCTTCTTTGAAGGAAAAAAAAAAGGGTAAAGTGACGTGAAACATACTACTATAATAGCTTAAACTTAAAATCTCTATTTGTACCTTATTATTAATATTTGTGGATGAATTTGTTATGACATTTGTGAAAAGTTTAAAATGAAGTGTCCTGTTCTATGTCAAGTCACGCAGTCACAAAAGGAGAAAGAAACCCCCGACCAACAATGAATCAGACATTATAATACCTAAAATTTGAACCCGGACACTTGTATATCTAACCGGGACAAGAACTGTTGTTACTCATGTAATAAAGAGTCCTAAATATAATCTCAAAATTGACCCACTTCAATGTGATTCTTTGGGACCACATTCCCTTCCATTTTTCATTTTTCCCTGTTGTCAATAATAAATCAGTTTGAGTCATTGGGAACACTACACTGTTTGAAGACTGAAAGAGAGAGAAAGAGACGAAAGGAAGGGTCAAAAGCCGCACTACCGGCACTGCTCAGTGACGAGTGCCGCCCTCTCTCTGTTTCTCAGTTCTCTACGGTTCCCAGATGTGTTGACATTACCCCATTACTTAGATTTCCCTGTTCTTTCTTCACATCTTTCTCTCTCTGGTTTCTTTTGCCTAAACTTGCAAAGGGTTTCTTTCTTTGTCAGCCATGGCGGTTTATGTAAAGGGACTGTTGGGTTTCCTGGCTTTTCTCGGTTTGCAGCTCCCTTTGATACTGGCAGGTTACGTCTGATTACTTTCTTGTTTCTATTACCTGAGCTTCACTTTCCTTTTTCTGCAAGTTGTAATTATTCTTATGACTTCGTTTTCCTTATCGTAAAAGATATCATTTTGGGCAATTTATGATGCTTTTTTTTTATTTGGGTCTGGGGTAAGAATGGAATCCTAAAATGGGTTTGGGTTTTGAAGCAGAAAATTTTGACTTATGATTTGCATTGATATTAAAGTGCTGTTTTGATTATGATGGTCGGTATTAGAATGTTTGAGCAACCTGCACTTTGTACCCATTTATGTTTTTCGCTCACTGTTTAATGAATTTGAAGATAATGTCACGTTCAATCCAGTATCTATTCAATTTCTGTCAGAATTTAGCTTAATGGATGCTTAGAGTTCTGTGTCAAGAATTAATGGCCAAAGTGGTGTACTTACAACTGGATTTGTATTACTTGCGTTTTTTGTTTTTGCTTAGAAAAATGATGTGGAAATGTAATTCCTATAGTACTGGCATGGATTTGGCACTGATATAGATTTTAAAATAAGGGCAGCCAATGAGTATGCCGGAATTAGGGGTGACGAGATCTAGTTACATTTAGCTAGATTATGCATTCCAGGTTTCAAGTTGATTGAATAGGGTCCGTTCCCTTTATAATCTCCTGTAATTAGCCATTTCTAATGGTTACAGAAATTTGACTATCATACTAACACCTTCTGTCAAACATGTTTCCGGTGATTTTCAGTGATATATTTTGCAAGTGATTGATTGCAAAGAAAAGATGGCTATGTTTTTGTTGCTTACTCATATCTGATTAATGGTCTTGCAACTTTTGCAGATTGCCCATTAGATTTGAGTGGATCAAATTTTACTCTTGTGGCTTCTTTATGCTCTAATAAAGATGACAGAGGAAAGTGTTGCCGCTATATGAATGCTTTCATTGCAGTTTCTGTTGCTCGTTATGCAAATGTGACAAGCAACCTAGGAGTTACATTAGATTTATCTGATATCTGCATCCACTCCATATTGCAAACCATGGAACTATACGGAGTCCCACGAAATGCAACAATTTTCTGTGGGTTTGGCACAAAAATTCCTGTTAGTTATGACTGTAGGGGTCGAACAACCGTAACACAGATGCTTGAGTCTCCAAAATTTATGGATGTCACAGAGAACTGCAAACTGCCACTTTTACAAGAAAATGATTGCCGAAAGTGTTTAAATGCTGGCATTGTCTACCTTCATCATCTGCTTGGATCTGAAGATAATATGACATTGAGTACTTGCCGAGATGCAACCTTTGCTGCACTTGCGAGCCAAGTTGAAAACAATTCAGCTGTAGAAATTGCAAGCTGTTTTTTTCAAGTTCAGGGATTTAACATCCCACCAGGTATGAATAGTTTCACAAAAAAAAAAAAAAGTGACTTTGATGTTTTATGAGAACTGTGTGTATATCTTTTATCATGTGGATAGTTTTTCCTAAGGTTTCTCCCACTTTTGCAGTTTCTTGCATGGTTCAAATGTTTATGATTGTGTAAACTTTGTGTCCCTGTACCCCCTTCCTTGCTTTTCCTCTTACAGCGGTGATGAGAGCCAAATTATTGATCCATTACCTTTCTGGTACTTAAAATAGGTGGTCTAGAACAATCTTCAGGCTAAAATTGAGTGCTTTTATGGGAACTGATAATAAACATTGTCATGCTCGGATGCCTTGTTCAAGAAAAAATAAAATAAGAAACCTAAGAATGCCTGGAAAGACTGATGCCCCTAATATAATATCTCATCAAAATGTGCTTTTGCTTTCCTGTATTAACTGCATCAGGACACATTAAATATGTGAGTATGTTTTCCATGGCTTATCTTCTGTAAGTAAATGAACTTTTATGTATTCCTTCCAATTAGCTAATAATTTGTTGTAATCATGATTCTAGTTTCAGAGACAACTCCATCTCCCTCTGCCCCTAAGACTTCTCCTACTCCATTGGTTGCTGCTAGTCCAAGCCAACTCATGTTGGGAGTACCTCCAAAACAAAAGCACCATACATACCACCTAACGTTGATTCCAGGTGTTGGCATAGCAGTTACTATAGCTGCTGTGATGATGCTTATAGTCTTGATAGTTTTGATTCGTAGGAAAAGCAGAGAGTTGGAGGATTCTGAGAGTATGGACAAGAACTCTTCAAAACTCTTTCCTTCTCCTCGGACCATGCGTAAATTTCAGAAAGGTTTGTTTTGATATCACCTATTCTCCTTTGATGAAGGCAAATTGTGGACATCATTTTCTATCTGACAGCAGGTGGGTGATCTGATGGGGATTGGTATTAAATGTAGGTACTTCATCAATGTTTCGAAAATACAGCTACAAGGAAACAAAAAAGGCAACTGACAATTTTAACACTGTCATTGGACGTGGAGGGTTTGGGACGGTGTACAAAGCTCAATTTAGTGATGGCTCAGTGGCAGCTGTGAAGCGGATGAACAATGCCTCAGAGCAGGGGGAAGATGAATTTTGCAGAGAGATAGAACTTCTTGCTAGATTACACCATCGTCATCTAGTTGCTCTAAGAGGATTTTGCATTGAAAAGCATGAGAGGTAGTTCATTGTTGTATATATGTCCAGTTGATCAATTCATCCACCAGAAAAATTAATTGCTTTTTGCTTCATGGCAGGTTTCTAATGTATGAGTACATGTCAAATGGAAGCCTAAAGGATCATCTTCATTGTATGCTTCTCCATTCATCTAATTCACTTCTCTAAAGTTTGATATTTTCCTTAAATGCCTTTGGGAAGGGATTCTTAGGAGCATTTAGGAGTCAGTTACATTGTTTTGGTTCAAAATGAGAGATTCTCGCCTCCATTTGACACAGTATCAACTTTTCTTACCTTTATTGTTTGCGGTTGTAAAAATTTTCTGTAATAATTATATAATAAATTTATACACTTGAATGCAGTGGAAGGTAGACTTAATCAACTGCTTCTTTCCCATGTTATTTTTCTATGTCCATCACTTGTTCATTGCATTCCCTAAACGAATTTGATATCGTATTTCTGCAGCCCCAGGAAAAACCCCACTGAGTTGGGAGACCAGAATACAAATTGCCATTGACGTGGCTAATGCTCTGGTAATAGTGATTGATTCAGTTGTTTTTTGAATTTGCGGATTTGTTTATACAAAATGATCTTCTTGCTAAATCACTTCTCTTTCCTCGTCTGTGGCTTATATCTGCAGGAGTACCTTTGTTTTTATTGTGATCCACCTCTGTGCCACAGGGACATCAAATCAAGTAACATTCTGTTGGATGAGAATTTTGTTGCGAAGGTATTGCGTCTGTTTAATGCACATTTAGTTGTGCTACTGCTTGATTTTGCTCTCACATTTAGGAGGAAACTCCTTACGGAATATAAGTTCTCTGCAGGATGCTCATCGATACACACAGACACACAACTTAAGAATTTTTTATTTCCTCATTTTAAAACAAAGTAAATACTAGTAGTTTTTGTTTTCTTTCTTGGCATACATATGTTTGATAATAAAAAAATGAAGTACAACTTTTGATAACTAGGGGAAGTTGAAAGCTGGTGAAAACACAAAGGCCATTCTAAAACTAAGAGAACAGTTTGTGAAAATGAAACAGTTTTTGAAGAAATTCAGTAAGAAATCTTTCGCATGAGAATTTTGAATAACGTTTGTCTTCTGGTAAAAGCATCAAAGTATATTGCTTTGAAACAATTCATGCTTTCTGCTTTACTGTATCCTCTAGGTTGCAGATTTTGGCCTTGCACATGCTTCAAAAGATGGTTCTATTTGCTTACCCGTAAATACTGATATCCGTGGCACTCCAGGTTAGCCAATAAATTATAGGAAGGTTCAACAATAATTGTCTCATGTTCTTTACTAAGGATCTAAACATTAGATGACTTTCAGGTTATATGGATCCTGAATATGTGGACACTCAAGAGCTCACCGATAAAAGTGATGTGTACAGCTATGGTGTGCTACTTTTGGAGATAGTGACTGCAAGACGAGCTGTACAAGATGGCAAGAATTTGGTAGAAGCATCCCAGATACTGATGGCATCAGAGTCAAGGCTAATTGAGCTAGTGGACCCCAAGATTAGGGACTCCTTTGACTTAGACCAACTCCAGACAGTTGTGACCATTGTGAGATGGTGTACTCAGAGAGAAGGTCGGGCTAGACCGTCAATCAAACAGGTCCTTCGGCTTTTGTATGAGAGTTCAGATCCAATGCAAAGTGGGTTTATACAAGCTGTTGAAGATGAAGATTATGAAGGTAGCGATGGAAGAGGAAGAACAAGTAGAGGAAAATTTCCTAGGAGTGGGCCTCTTTTTCACAGTGGAGATGGAAGATATTTTGCTTCTTCTTCAAGTACATCAAGGTCATATTGTAGTAGAAGCTTTTTACTAGAAACTGGCTCACCACAATCTCCTCAAAATATACTCTCCCTTTAAGGCCAATCATTTGTTTTCTTCATCAAACAATACGAGAGCTGCCTCTATTTGGTTTAAGGCATAATTGAGAGTGCTTGATGTGATTCCAGTCATGAGTTGGCTGGTATGCATGGTCTTTGTTATGCAGAATCCTCCTGTTGTAAAGCAAGTGAATGCCATCAAGCTTGTTACTTGTAAAAAAGGGCAAAAAAGAATTTAGAAAGTGATTATCTTATAATTTTCCAGTTTGTGTTTCCCTAAATTTTTTGGATAACTGAGACGTAAGTGTATTTTTTGCTTGTACTATTGATACAGAGATCAAGATATTGCAGCTGAGAGAGATGTCTCAGTGCAATTGTTTTATTACCTTCTAATGGAGTTGCAGCGTACTTTGTATTTAGGAGTTTTTTTTTTTTGGTCTTTTTTTTGATAGGGTGTGTGGGAGTTCGAAAGTCTGGGCAAATTGAAAGTTCATGGAACTTGCTTTTG